GAGACATAGAGACAGAAAGCGAGAAATCACCCCCCAGGGGGGATGGTCATGCCGCAGTCCCTTCTCCTCCATTCTCCTCTCAGGATCTTGGGCATGCACACACACGTGCCCGGCGTGAGTTTTAAGCCACCAGGTCCGGGGACGTGAACCGCGGTCAACTACGTGGGAGTCCAGTGACATAGCCATTACGCTAACTGCTGGTTCCTGCCCCCGTTAGTTTTTGAAAGTTTCTTCTTGGGCTATCCAGCTGGCATGGTTAAGGCAGTTAGATTCCACATGGCTGACCCTGTGGTTCGAGTCCAGGATCATGTGTATGTGCATGCCCAAAATCACAGGGAAGAAGGTAGGGTAGGTAAAGGGATTGCTGCATGGTCATCCCTGCTAGGGGGATGCTTTCTCACTTTCCCTCTCTGGCAAGCTATCGCAGATATCTTTCTAATATTTTATATTTACATTATATTTAGAATTCTTGGGAACCTTGAGGTGCGACGTAACTAGTAGCGGCTTATGGTTCGGGGACAATGTCAGGGACAATAAAGGTTCCCTGGTTGAGCGTCCTACGCACAGAAACCTACACAATTCTGCATTTTACATCCATTTATTAGCAAACGGGTACACTCACAAATTAAGTGATCCGCGAGGGCATGGGTGGTCGTAGGCTGGCAGCTAGGAGGTCATGACAGGTCTGGACACTCGAGAACCCAGTCAATGCGAGGCGAACTCAAGGCAGATGGAGCATGGAGTGGTGAACCGGCGAGCACCGATGGCTGGGCAGGAACTAGCATAGGTTGTTATTGGCACCCAGCCGATACAGCGAGAATCTGGTCAGCGAGGATGGCTGTTCTGCAAGTCAGGCAATGACTCAGGACTGCTGCGGCTGTCAGTGTGAATGGAGTGACTCAGGGCTGCGAGGAGCAAGGGTCCCAATTGTGGGACCCTCCGGCAGCGAGTGTTGGTTCCAATGAATGTTCAGAAAGGCCTCGGTTTTATGGGCCATTTCGAGTGTGTCTCTAACATGTTTATCTCAGTCCGTGTCAGCACATCTTATCTCAGGCTGATAGCGTGACAGGTGTCTATCTCAAGCTGGTGTTGAGGAGATATCTTTCCTAACATATTTTTGGCAAGCATCTTGGAAGCAGTACAAAATGGAGTAACATATGTCAAGCAATACAAAATGGAGTAACAAGCATTGTGATCAAAGAATAACATAAACCCATATGCCCTATAGCAAAAGCTAAAAAAATAACTTTTAAACTTGTTCTTATTTAGGTTACTTAATTAGTATAGCTATAATTATAATAATGTAATTGTATATAACTACAATATGTAAAACAATTTCAGACTTTCCACTGTGTTCTCGGACCTTACCTCTCCTGTTCCTTACAAATACCCAAGAAACCAAGCACCTTAACTCTTACTTTTCAGTCTTTATTGCTCCCCCCTAAAATCTATAACTCTTACCAGGTCTGCTTCAGTGCAGAGCCTTATTCTGTTGTGGCCTCGTATTTGCCCGTCTTCCTCATTACATTTAGTAATAATCTCAACTCATAAATGCCATGTCCTTCAAAATGATATCTGGGTAAAGGGGAAAAAAGTTAGGGGTCAGCTGGTGATGTGGTGATTAAGGTGGCTAGTTCTTACATGGTCAACTGTATGGTTCAAGTGCCAGACCTATAGCTTGAGAGTCTGTCTAGGTGCATGTGTCTGCGAGCTCATAATCCCGAGAATGAAGGAGAAGGAACTATGGTATAGCCATTCCCGCTTGGGGGTGGAGCGTGCTTTCTCACTTTCCCTCTGTCTCTCTGGTAAGCACACATACCCTATAGCAAAATATTTTTTGGGTAGAGGTTTTTGCTATAGGGCGCATGTGCTCACCAGAAAAAGAGACAGAGAGACAGAAAGCGAGAAAACAGCTCCCCAGGGGGTTGGCCACTTAGCAACCCCTTCTCCTCCATTCTCCTCTCAGGATCTTGGGCACGCACACATATGTGCCCGGCGTGAGTTTAAGCCACCGGGTCTGGGAACTGAACTGTGGTCGACTACATGGGAGTCCAGCTACATAGCCACTACGCCAACTGCTGGTCCCCAACCTATAGCAAATTAAAAATAAAAAAAAAAAAAAAAAAAAAAAAAAGACAATATAGGGTGTGGAGGGCAATGCATTAAGTGAGCAAAACAGGAGCCATCTTAAGAGCTATCCGCCATTTTGGGTATTCTGCCATTTTGTGTATAAGGAGACCTTAAGTTTCTATTCCCCCACCAAGCAAACCGATTCCCAGAAGTCACATGACCAACCGTCCCTCCCATTGCCTAAAAACCTATCTGCGTAAGCAGACAAGCCTATTTTTGAGCGCATATAAACTTGCCATACGTCCTCAATAAACGAGACTTGATCAGCACCTTGTCTTGTCTCCACTCTGTGTTTGTCCCTTCTCTCACTCCCTCCCTCAGGTGACTGTTCGACTGTCCTGCGGGTTGGGACACGTGGTCTTTGTCTAGCTTTACAGAAACATTGCTGCTTTTACGCCAACAAATCCGGCATAGTACATGATAAGCTAAATCAACTACAAAAAAATCTTAAGCACAGAAAACAACTCGCCGACAACTCCTTATGGACCACGTAGAACGGACTTCTCCCATTTCTGCTCCCTTTACTCAGTCCTCGTTTCGGCCTTTTGATTGTTTGCTCTTTGGGGCCTATTCTTTTTAATAAACTCATGACATTCCTTAAACAACAAATCAACTCAATAAAAATACAGCCTATCCAAGTCCATTACCATAAACTAGTGATGGAGGAACACAGAGCCTAGATTGTTCCCCACCTAAGGCGCTGAATTGGTTAGCCAATGACGGGTAAGAGAGTCTGAGCCCAATGGCTGTATTGTCCTTCCACCTAAAACAGGAAACCCATCATCACAATGGGATTCTCCAATGACAAGTAAGGATAAGACATGTGGCTCTAAAAACGACTCCAACCTAAGACAGGCACGATTCCCCCAGGCTTTTCTCCTCTTTTTATAAAATAAAAAAGGGGGACATGTGGAGGGCGATGCATTAAGTGAGCAACACAGGAGCCATCTTAAGAGCTATCCGCCATTTTGAGTACTCCGCCATTTTGTGTATAAGGAGACCTTAAGTTTCTGCTTCCCCACCGAGCAAACCGATTCCCAAAAACCACATGACCAACCGTCCCTCCCTTTGCCTAAAAAATCTATCTGCATAAGCAGACACGCCTATTTCTGAGCGCATATAAGCTTGTCATACTTCCTCAATAAACGAGACTTGATCAGCACCTTGTCTTGTCTCCACTCTCTGTGTTTGTCCCTTCAGGTTTTTGCTATAGGGCGCATGTGCTCACCAGAAAAAGAGACAGAGAGACAGAAAGCGAGAAAACAGCTCCCCAGGGGGTTGGCCACTTAGCACCCCCTTCTCCTCCATTCTCCTCTCAGGATCTTGGGCAAGCA